CAGCAAAAGCTTCTGGCACTACACAGAAGAGTCACTTGCTGCCTACAATAAATAGCTACAGAAAACAGTGCAGAACTGAAATCTGCCTAGGCTATGAACAGTCTCTTTATATAGGCGCTGATTGTTTTTCTTGAAAGATTAGAATGTGACACGATAATAAAATTGTAACCAAAGAATGATTTGCTTTGATTTTTCTCAAAATAGTGTAAATAACATTTCAAATATTTTTCAGGTAATACTAGAATGATTATTTAAAATCACAGCAAAATAAACAATCAAACCCAGAACTTGTATATCTAAAAGCTAGGCGACCAAAAATGATAGCATAGCCATATCATCACACATTTTGGTTAGTATCAACCACATAAGATTCAGTAGTTGTTAGCAGATTTTAGAAAAAGAAATCCACATAATTTAACACCAAACCTGGTAGAATACGTTATTTTAAGATATCAATTTCACATAAGAAATTTGAAGGAACGCAAGCATTCTGAACCTCTTTATACCACATGCTGCCATTTAATAAAAACTAAGTGAAATTCTCTAAAAGGAAACATGCTCTCTCCAGATTTCTTCCTCTGAGGTCCAAGCCCCCAGTGACATACTTGACGACTCCTGTGTGGTGTGAGGGGGAAGTGGTGGCTCAAGCTGCTTAAGCTTAACTGAAGCACGACTTGGACTGCACAGCCGCCCAGTGGGGCAGACCCTGCAACCCACGCTATGGCACTTTGCCAGCGGGTTCGTTTACAAAGCTGTCAACATCTTATTCCAACAACAACATAGAGGAAGAACTTCTTTCTATAGTGGCTGTAGTTTGGAAAGCATAGTAATAACCCCCATTGGAGTTCTTATACAAATTAAAAAGCAACATCCATGATACTTGGTCCAGATTTACCACTTTCAAGAATTAAAAGCAATTAGCAAGTATATTCATCAATACAAAAAAAGGAATTGGCTATTAACCTCTAAGGGGACTCAAATATTATCATTCTACTTGGTACCTGATGGCACATGATGGTGCCAGTGGAACTAAATCAAGTATTCTACCTCATTTCAAAAGATAAAATGCTTAGTGAGCAAACTTAGTTTTTTTTCACACATGGTAATGGTTGTGACGTTGGCCATTTAATGAGGATTAGAGCCCAGTTTGGGTTACAGTCCTCACCATAATTCTCTGTTGCCATCTTTCCCTGTCTCTTGATGGAGATTATATTTGCTATGATTGACCTTAAAAATTTCTCACCTTGTCACATTTGGTTCCAGCTATTAAGCAGGACACTTCACCTCCAAGACGTTTGGCTGCAGTGATGGTATTTAATGTAATGGGTGCTAGGGTATCATTTCCATGCTCGGCTATTACCAGGGTACTCTGAAATCGCAGCCATGAAGCCTAAAAAGAGGGAAAAAATGGAAAAGAATGTTGTCATACAAATAGTTTTTACTGTTAAGCACGTGTGCTTTAAAGAAAACTGTATAGAAAACTCGGTTCCATAAATGGAATTATGAAATACTCAACAGCAAAATTGGGCTTTTGTGTCTATCACTCTATTACTAATATTCATGCCAAACGAGAACAGAAAATGCAAATTATTCTACTATTAGAAATTTTTAAAAATTATTTCAAAACTATTTTCCCACTAATCTACGTTCAATAAAAAACTATTAATATATATAAGTTCAAAATCCTTAAACTGAACATGTCAACATCAAACTAGGAATCAAACCACTACCAATTGCACTCACTTGCAGCAATGCTGCTAAAGAGCACAGTATGTCCAGAAATAATGGGTCTGGAATCATTACTCGAGTTGATTGCTACTGCTTCAGGCAAAATGCATTTCGAAATACCAAAACAACTGATAATGTAAATCTGTCTTTAAACCACAACACACAACACAGCAATTTTGCTGGGGTTTTCAACTGTTAAATATGCTTCCAAATTCAAAATGAAAGCTTGCAGACAGTATCTTAGAACCAAGTGATATCTACCCAGATCTATCGTAGACCATCAAGAGACCACCAGTCATCTAGAATGACTTCAAACACCAGGAACACAGAGATGAACGAGAACGGTCCCTGTATTCAAAAATGTCAAGGGAAATAAGACTTGTTCACATACCATTACAAGACAGAACAGTTTTCCAATTTACAAAGAGTTTTCCAATTTACAAAATGTTGGAGACTTCAGATCATGAAGTAATGAACCAAGAGAAAGAAAGGAAGTACATTCGGGTGTTCCTGCCGTGTGGAAAGATGAGGAAGTGCACCACGGGATGAGCAAAGAAGCCACTTTTGGAACCATCCTTGGGGGAGTGGCAATGAGGAATGAGAAGAGGAGGCAGTGGCTGTGTGGCTTCAGATGTGGAGTGGGAGTGAAGAAGTGTAATACAAAATTTACCCAGAGCTGGAAATTTATAAGGAGAGTATGAATGAAGGGAAGGGACAGCACAGGACAATAATACTGGTTAACAATTTTACTTACAAAACACGTTTTTTTCCATTTACTGTATTGTAAATATCAATTGCTATTTTAATACCCTTCGCCTTTTTATGAGCATACCAGTTTAACCAGTCTCTTTAGTACTTGAGTTATTAATAATTTAATATTATAAACAATGCAAAGAGCACTCTCATAGCTAAATCTCTGCACTCAACAGATGAGTTCCCTTCATCTAGAAAGACCCATCTGATTAGAACCTGGCGACATTTTACTCTAGCTGCTCTCTGCTTCACAGAAGACTATGCCAGCTTCTGTTCAACCTTTAACAAAATCGGGACCCGTCCTCCCCTAAGCTTATCTCTACTGCTTCCACCCCAACCTTCTCCTAGGCCCTCTAATCACCTCCCCCCGGCCCCATCCTTCAGGACCACAATCCCAGACCTGGGGGCCAGAGACAGCAGTGGGTAGAAATGCTTGCAGAGCCACACCAACCTGAGGGCGGAAAGAGGAAGAGGACAGCATGACAGGATATGCCGGAGGAAGGGTTTACTGCACTGGGTATCAGTGGATGACACTTCTTGTCCTTTTCCTCCCTTTTTTATTTATTCAAAGGGAGCAAGGATGAGGAGAAAATGAGACTTTTGTTGTTGCCAAATCAAGTACCTGCTTGTATAACTTTTTCTTTTCTACAGTAAAAATGTGCCTTCTCATGGGAGGTGGTTAAGGTGAGAAATCTTTATGCACATCTAAGGGTTCTTCTCTTAGGACAAATTCCTAGAAGTGATGACTCAAGAGGTAGGCATACTTTTGATACTTTTAATATTGACACAAACCATTCTCCAGAAAAGTTGTAGCAAATCATAAGAATTCATGATTCCTGGGATGGGTTTAAAGTTCTTAGAAGACAAATACCATGCCTATTCATTTTTGTGTCCCCAGAGTTTAATATAATGTTTTATTCCAATAAGTATCTATAGAATTATATGGTGCTTCTCTTTTTTAATCAGATGAACAGACTATCTTGTAAAGAAATTTCTAATTTAGGACTCCATGGCATAATTTATGATTTAAATCACACTTCGCGAGAATTGCCGGTAACAAACTATTTATTACCAAATATATCAGACACCAAATTTTTGATAATGTTTCACACATCATTTACCCAAAAACTTATGAGATTTCCAGCAACATTTGGAGAATAAATCCAGGATCTGGTGGCAGAAGGCCTACATTTGCTGTAAATTATGGTTCTATCAACAGATAAATTATGTAGTTCTCCTAAGGAATCCTTGAGCTTTTAAAAACATGCTGGGGGACACTGTATTAAGCGTGTGTGTGCGTGTGTATAAAGTCTTATTTAAAACTCATAGAAACTCTATGATGTAGGTACTATTATACCCTGACTTTACAGATGAGGAAATTGGAGCTACATAGCTAGGAAGTAGAACCAGGTTAAAAGCCCAAGCCGCTGGACTTCAGAATTTGGGTTTTTAATTACCACTGACATCAAAGCAGCATCATTTTTATCTGTTTCATATATGGGTCATTCCTGTAAGATTCCACTTAGTAAATACTTTCCTGTCTTCCCCCAACACCTCCTCCTCCTCCCACCACCACCAAAATAGCACTGGTCAAAAAAGAAAAAAAAAGAAAAAGAAAAAGAAAGATATCAAAGGCTTACCATCTAGCTCTAAAAATTCTATAACCCTAAAATTCTGCTTTAAGTAGAAGAGGGGTATAGAATACCACTAAAGATTCAAAAAGTACAGGTCATTACTTAAAGGTTTTAAAACAAGAGTCACTGTTATTTATCTTTTGCTCTAATGCATCTTGTACACTTTAGGACTCTTTTATGGAGGAAAAAAGAGCCAAATTCTTAAACATTTGAAGATAACTATTAAAATAATAAGGTAACTACCCAGAAAAAAAATCTCAATCTCTTCAAAATACTGTTATTTAAAGCAAGATTAATGTAGGCTGCTGTCACCATAAATTCTTAGTCATCAATCTTATCTGGGTCTTCAAAACTACATGGCAATGTTACTATGATATACTTGCTGGCACTCTCTCTCTCCACGGCCACTATTTCAAATATCCCCTTCTGACGTTTCTCGAACTGCCAAAATAGTCTGTCCTCTGCTCTCAGAAGAGAACCTCACTTCCTACCTCACAATGAAAACTGAAGTGGCAGAAAGGACCTGCCTCCACTTCCCAATCTCCAACCCCAAACCCCTTCCCTGCCCTGTCACACTGGAAGCAGCCTCAGGTCCTTCCTCTAGGGTCTACTCCCTTCATCTGGGCTCCCTCTCAAATTCAGTCAGACTTCTTTCTGTGGTCTCTTCTCAGCAATGTCTACAACCTCTCCCTTTTCCTGGCTCCATTGGGGGATATATTTAAACAAGTCTGAGGCCCTCCCAATTTTAATGAATCCCAAAATTAAAACCCCACTACTCCACATTCCACTCCAGCTCTCCAGTTCCTCATCTCCCATTCACTCCTCAACTACAGCAAATGAAACATTATTCAGCGCGCACACACACACGTTATCAGGCCATGAGATGACATGGAGAGACCTTAAATGCATATGAAGTGAAAGAAGGCTGAAAAGGGTACATACTGTACAGTTCCACCTATATGACATGCTGGCAGGGCAAAGTTACAGACAGAGTAAAGAGATCAGTAGTTGCCCACGGTTAGGGGGAGAGAGGGATGACGAGGCAGAGCACAGAGATTTTTAGGGCAGTGAAACTATTCTGTACACTATAATGATGGATATGTCATTGCACATTTGTCCAAACCCATAGAATGCAAAACACCAAGAGTGAAGCCTAATGTAAACTATGGACTTGGGGTGATAACAGTGTGTCTGTGTAGCTTTATCAATTTTAACAAATGTAGCACTCTGCTGAGGGATGCGGAAAGTGAAGAAGGCTGGGGAACATGGGAAGGCTGTGCACTTTCTGCTCAATTTTGCTGTGAACCTAAAACTGCTCCGAAAAATCGTGCATTTAAAAAAAACCTTGTTGCTTTAAAAACATCCTTTTAGTACTTTCACTCTGTACACTGAGCTATAAACAATTTTAAGACTCTACATAGGCCATTCTCCAAGATTGCTCGTCTGAACCACAGAAAACGATTTTTCTTAATTTAATAAACATAGCTAGGAACACTCTAGACAGATAGGTGAGAAGTTAATTCATTACATACAGTGGATGCTTTAAGATTCCAAATGCTTGTTGTCCCCTTAAATTTTTCTTCCTTTTGTGTGTGCAGATGTGCAAGTTTATTGAGAAGTATTCTTGGGAACAGCATCCATGAAGCATCAAGAAAATAGGACTGGGTAGGAGAAGAAGTGGAACGCAGTCCAAAGAAAGATCTCGGCTGATGCACAAGGAGCATCAGGATGGCCCTTCAGAGCTGTCTGGGACTGAAGCAAGGGGGCTGCAGATATTCCTTTTCACACCATGTCAGGACACTTTTTACTTACTCCGGGACAATTTTTTCTTAATTTCAAGGGCCCCTTCAGCGTGTTCCACCTTACCTTAGAATTCACATTAGACTTTATTTTTATTTTTTTAAATAATCACACTAACATGCCTAATGCTTTCTTTTACTTGTTTCTAATTCAACCCTGGAAATAACACCATAATAAAAAAGAAAGATAGATCTAAAAAGAACTCGTACAACAGGAACAGAATTAAAAGAATGATAAACAAGTGATTTAAAATAGACAAAACTTAAAAATGAAGTGCTATTTTATCTAAAGAAAATCGTTCACCGTATTATTACTTCATCACTCAATAACAATGGTTGTAAAGCACCTTAGTTTACAAAGTAATTTCACATATATCCATTCAGTGTTTCTCTAGTCCCCTAATTAATCATCTCTCCTTTACACGTTCTCCCAAAACCTGTACACCTGTTACAACGATCACATCTAAAATAATGTGTTCATTATCTGTCTTCCCCAGTCTATTCGCATCACATGGGCAGGGATTAGGTCTATCCCGTTCTCCACTGTGAACTCCTACCTAGCTTTGTGCCGGGCACACAGCTGACACTCCATGTATGTTTGGCGACTAAATGAAAAGCTTCCCCCAAATGATCAAAAATGAAAAAGCAACTGTTTCTATCTCATTGGTAATTTAATGATCTAAGTGCTTATATGTGTACCTACCAAGGATAGTACATAAACTTATCAAATTACTAAAACGGCTATCCTATCATGGTTTTAAAGAACGTACCTTAACAACTGACTAAATTCCACACAGTAAAATGGGAAAAGTGTTCTTTCACCCGCCAGCCACGTACCCTTATTTAAGGTGACTGGCCTTCACAAGATACAGGCATACCTTATTTTACTGTGCTTCACCAATGTTGTGGTTTTTTTACACACTGAAGGCAAGACACCCCACTCCCGGACACACACACAGATGCACACACATACACACACACACACACACACACCAGCAAAGAGATCACAACTGACTGTACTGCAGAAGTCTGGACTGGAACCTGTAGTGTCTCTGAGGTGCGCCTACAGTGAACTTCTTGAGGACTGGGTTCGAAGGGATATCGAACTCTCTTCACCTTTCAGAGCCAAACTTGAAAATAATTTCGATACGCTCCTATTCTACCACCTCACCTCACCTCTCCTCTTCTTCACTCACAGTAAACTGATTTTCACTTCCACTTAAACAGTGAATGCACCCTCTTCAAGGTCACCCACAACCTTGTTATAGCTAAGTCCAAGGAACACATTTTGGTCCTTCTCTTATTCAACCTTAACAGTTTTTGACACTGCTTGAACTTTTGTCTTCTAGACGCAACCAAGATTTCCTGCTCAGGAGTTCCTGCTAATGAGACTTCATATGTTTATGTAGTAAACTACACCACAGGTGTTAGAAGAAAAAAAAAAAGTTGGACTCTAACCCCCTACTTAACCCTTACAAACCCACTCGAAACCTGAATAAGAATAATTTTAACCTACATCCCCCACCAGTGATCTTTGAAAAAACTAAGCAGAGTAAAATTAAAAAGCAGGAATAAAATCTTTTCAAGTTCTACCGAAAAAGGTAACATATAACGAAAGTCACCTATACCCATTTTAACATACATTTTGTAATAAAATATGTTATATGTCTGTACTTAAACTAAATAACTTACTTTAACCTCTTTAGTAATAAAATATGGTAGCTTTTAATTATTAGAAATATCATATGACGTTGATATTAAAAACACAATTTACTTCACTTTAAAAACAGACAAGACCCTTAGTAGACACACTGGCAGGCAGCATAATTTTATGGAACTCACCTTATGCAATAAATCTTTTAGAGCCGCATTAAAATTGGCGCTCTTTCTTTCAAAAGAAATTAAAATCTGAATGCAAATTAGAGTTCAATCTCATTCATCAACACTAAACCATGGACTCTGAAAATGTCACGTTCCTTCATACTAGTTTCGTAGCTTCTGAATCATGACAGATGTGCCTTCTGTCTAGCAATGAACACAAGAATACTCGAACGACCTTGAAAAGTGCTGCTGCAATCTCCACATAAAATATTTCTTTGGCATTTTATTAGTCAGATTCATTTCAAATGCAAATGAACAAAATAATACTAATAATTCAGATTAATATCCCGGCAAGAATGTTAACTAATTGCAAATGCCTACTTATTTTCCTCTCAGTGTGTCCTCTGGCTCTTTACTGTAGATTTAAAATACCACCTTCATTAACAGATGATACTGAGGAGGCCAACGAAGATGAAGGACTTTGCTCAAGGGCACAAATAAGTCAAAACTAGAAATGGAAATTAGATACCAAATGCAAGTCATTTAACAAATTCTAATAGTTCAAGGTATCTCTTTTTTTTCCTATTAACTGTGGTAAAAAATACATAAAATTTACCATCTTAACCATTTTTAAGTGTAGAGGTGAGTAGTGTAAGCTATATTCACATTGTTTTGTTAACAGCTTAAGGTAACCTTTTCAATCACTTAATAGATTAACTTAAAACTGTTATTAAAAATATGGTTTCATGTAAATATCTTCCTAAATTTACTTATAGTTAGCTGCAGAACAATTTTTTTTCAGATTTCAAGAGTGGGATTTTCAAAGAAGCTATTTTGACTTTGAGACATCATAAATATAAGTTAAATGGAAACCAGAGTAAAGGAACTCCCACTTTAGAAATATAAGACAACTCGAACATCAAAAAACTTAAGAGTAATAATGGATAACCTACTAAATAAAATAAGGATCTATGAGCCACAAATAAATATATTAATAAACAAGAAGAGAATTTTCTTCCTTATAATAGAAGGTTAATAAGTGTAGAAGGAATGACAGAATTAGAAAAATCACCATTTTACATCGCAGTAATCATTTCTCAGGCAAGAATCATCAACAGACAGATGGAAATCAGGGGAGAAACAGTAGTTACATAGTCTCAAAGTCGCCCCACAGATTAGTTAAATATCACCAGGGGAGAAGTAGTAACTCTATAGTGGAGAAACTCAGTGAACACTTTAGACAATTAAAGTTAATATCAACAGTGAGATAAACCAATATTATAAATCTCCTAACATGAAGCTCTAAGAACATAACATCGCTTCTGTGATACTCGTGTCATACATAGCCTGAATCTTTCTCTGGTGAGAAAACAGCAGACAAACCGAAATTGAGGGACGGTCAATAAAACAGAAGCCCTGTACGCTGCAAAAACGTCAATGCCATCAAAGCCAAAGAAAGGATGAGGAACTTTTCTAACAAAGATTAAATGCAAGGCATGATCCTGGACTATCTTAGACCAGAATAAGAACTGCTATGAACTATACTAAGACAACTGGCAACATCTGAATAATGTCTCTGCAGATGATCGTATCGTGTCACTGTTAAACTTGCTGATCTTGCCAATTATACTGTGGTTATGAGAGATGAACCTCCTTGTTCTTAGAAAATACACTGAATTATTTAGGAGTAAAGGGCATGTCTGCAACATAGTCTTAAATGGTTCAGAAAAATAACAAGTATATAAGAAGAGAGATAAAGCAAATGCGCCAAACCGTTAATAGATGATGAAGCTCAGCAGAGTTTTGAGACTTCTTTGTACTATTCTCGAACTCTGTAAGCTTAAAATTTCACAAGTTAAAAAGTTACACATGTATATATTTATGAGTCCATTTTAAAAGTGTTCGGGCTATTTTCTATGCACTTGAATTTCCAATCTCTCAAAAGTTCTTACTGAGTTTAGAGCAGCTACTTTAATCTGACTTCGAATTTTAAAAATAAGGTCAAAGACTCTGGAAAACTACAATAAAGATTTGGAAATACTGTGTGCATATATTGGCAAACTGTGTTGATGATAAGTAAACTGATGACTCCAAATTTTTTTGTTAACTCTACAAAATAACTAACTCCTTAATTCTCCCCAGCACAATTATTTCACTGTGCCAGACTTCTAACGTGTCCACAAAACTACCTTCCAATTACTGCATCAACAGGTATTTTTCTGCAAGTCTGGCTCTGATACCTGCAATTTACCCAAATCCACGACTTTAACTTGTTTCTGTCTAGATCCTCTGAGGGGGAAAAAGTCTCCTGGGAGAAAAGACTGAGCAATGACCTGAAGGATGTGGGTTTGAACTTGGGAGGGGGTCGAGGGCAGGTTCGGGAACCCTTTTTTACGGAACCGGGAATCCATCAGAGCCTACAGACACCGAGAAAGATTGCCAGCTGCGTCTGAGGGAGAAAACGCCAGCGGTAAACGGGAAAAGCAGCGCGCACGCGCACTGCGTAGAGAAAGTGCAGGCAGGAAAGTTTCCGAGCCCTTGGGCAACCGTGTTTCTCACTTGGCCGCGCTGCAAGTCAGAAAATCTACGCCCAGCACGTAAACTGTTCCCCGACTTGTCGATCTCCGACTGCCGCTGTCCCCCAGCGTTCGGACAAGTTTGTGCTTTCCATCCGTCCTCCTCAGGGCGGGAGACGTGGCGAGCTCACGACCTGTCAGTAGCGAGAGCACAGAGCGCGCCCCGGCCGCAGCTGCCCGCCCCGCCCCCTCG